TTGGTCTTTGTATCTTGCCCCATTTCAATTTTCCTTTTTAATCTTGTCTCTGTGTTCCTAACCCAATTTGATTGCTGTTTGCTGTCTCTACTTAGTGGTCTGAACTTTGTGCCTTGGTCATGGTACCTTAAATTTCAAACTCAGCTTTGAACATCTTTAAGAGGAAAGTTCAGTCACTCTGATAAATTATCTTAAATTTATTTCATTTTGATATAATCTGCCTCCAAACCCAACCCAAACTCTAAAATCTGATGACTATAAAATTTTTTGGTGCGTGGGGGGGCAGAAGGTTTTAAATTAGAATTAGTTGACAGTATTTAAAAACTCTCCTGAAAAATCTGGGTGATTTGGTAACATTGGCCACATGCTCCTTCATGGTTACAATCAGCTGGAGCTAAAGAGCAGCAAGGTCCCTTTTCCAGTCTCCCACATTCCCCTTGTTCCTCCACTCCCAACCCACGATCTCCCCAACAATTAGCTAAGTGTCAGTTTTCATTTATCATCTTATGTTCCGTTCATTTGACTTACTTTATTACCAGCCTGGCACTTTGTAGGCATCTGAGTTTGTAATCCTTGATAAAGAAAGTAAATAATAGGAGGGCAGAGACCTTGCTTATCTTGTATACCTTTGTATTCCCAGGGTCTAGCTCAAAAAGTATTTGTTGAATAAGCAAGCTTTTATTTCAGAAGAATACTTTTACTATTAAAATCAAACTAGAAGGAAAAGAAGTTGAATATATATAGAATTGTTAAAGATCAAATGAAAAAGATACAATTTTGCTAATATGGGTTTGGGGCTCAAAGTTAGGACTATGACACCTCAAATACTGGGTCCCGGGGGAACAAAGCTAACCATATCAAATTAAAAACAATTAACAGATTCATTTATCAATGTATATACCATATTTGTTATAACACCAACTCATTAGTAAGGTGACTGATTATATTTATATATATAATTTATGTATTTAGATATGTAAAATTATTTAGATATGTAATTTATGTATTTAGGTATGTAATATATATTTAGATATGTAATTATGGAAGAAATAAACTTCATTTTTCCCCTCTTAAAAATTTTACATGTACACAAGAAATGCATGCTCATTGTAGAAAAATTACACAATACAGAGAACTAAAAAAAGTCACCAGTCATTCTACCACTTAGAGGTAACAATGGATAAGATTTTGATGTATTTATATTTTGATAAATACTTTTTGATGAACAGATACATATGTGTGGTTTAGATTTACATGTATGTGTGTGTATATGTGATCATACTTTAAATACAGCTAATTTCTGAGCTCAGAAAAATCGATTTAATTCAGCCAGTATTTGCAGACTACTATATGCAAGGCACTATTCCAGTCAATGTCAAGATGTAATATCTTTCTTCATAGTCATGAAATAACTGAATTGTTTAAAAGAGCAGATGTTAAATAAACTAGTCTATGAGAACAGTTGAAGATAATTACAGTTGACCCTTGAACAACACAGGGGTTAGGGGTGATGGCCCTCCATGCAGTTGAATATCCTCCTATAACTTTACCGGTGGCCCTCCATATTTGCAGTTCCACATCCGTGGACTCAACTGACTATGGATTGTGTAGTACTGTAGTACATATTTATCAAAAAAGAATCTGCAGGGCTTCCCTGGTGGCACAGTGGTTAAGAATCCGCCTGCCAATGCAGGGGACATGGGTTCCAGCCCTGGTCTGGGAAGATCCCACATGCCACGGAGCAACTAAGCCTGTGCGCCACAACTACTGAGCCTGTGCTCTAGAGCCCGTGACCCACAACTACTGAGCCTGCCTGCTGCAACTAATGAAGCCCACACGTCTAGAGCCCATGTTCCACAACAAGAAAAGCCACCACAATGAGAAGCCTGAGCACCGCAACAAAGAGTAGCCCCTGCTTGCTGCAACTAGAGAAAGCCCGCGTGCAACAAAGACCCAACGGCAGCCAAAATAATGATAATAAATAAATAAATAAAATTAAAAAAAAAAAAGAATCTGCATATAAGTGGACCTGGGCAGTTCAAACCCATGTTGTTCAAGGGTCAATTGTATTATGAGAGGAAATATGGCAGAATGGAAAGACAGCTCTACTGCATAAGCTTGGAAAAGACCTTTCCCTCACTTATGACATTGAAATAATAATAATGTTTACCTTAGAGAGTCCTTATGAGAATTAAATGAGATTATGGCATAGAATGTTTGGCACATGAATACATAATAGTTGTGTTTATTATCATTGTAATGATATTGATCAAATTATGTTGCTAATATACCATCTTAACAGTAACTGAAGTGGTTGTACCAGTTAATCAGAAATGAAGTTTAAGAATTCAATGAATGTGGACTTCTCTGGTGGCGCAGTGGTTGACAGTCCATCTGCCGATGAAGGGGACACAGGTTCGTGCCCCAGTCTGGGAAGATCCCACATGCCACGGAGCGGCATGAGCCATGAGCCATGAGCCATGGCCGCTGAGCCTGTGCGTCAGGAGCCTGTGCTCCGCAACGGGAGAGGCCACAACAGTGAGAGGCCCGCATACCACAAAAAAAAAGAATTCAATGAATGCAACTCAATAACAAAAAACCCCAAATAATTCGATTAGACAAAGGACCTGAATAGACACTTTTCCAAAGGCATACAGATGGCCAACAGGTACATGAAAAGGTGCTCGGCATCACTAATCATCAGGGAAATGCAAGTCAAAACCACAATGAGAGATCACCTCACACCTATTAGGATGGCTTTTATCAAAAAACAAGAGATAACAAGTGCTGGCGAGGATGTGGCAAAGATGGAACCCTTGTGCACTGTTAGTGGAAAGGTAAATTGGTGCAGCTACTATGGAAAACACTATGGAGGTTACTAAAAAAATTAAATATAGAACTACAATATAATCCAGCATCCCACTTCTGGGTATATATCCAAAGGAAATGAAATCAGAATCCCTATGAGATATCTCATCTCTCATGTTCATTGCAGCATTATTCACAATAGCCAAGATATGGAAACAAGGTAAGTGCCTATCAACAGATGAACAGATAAAGGAGGTGTGTGTGTGTGTGTGTGTGTGTGTGTGTGTATGCATGCACGTGTATGCACGCGCGCACACACACACACAGTTGACCCTTAAGGAACGCTAGGGTTAGGGACACCTACCCTTCATGCAGTCAAAAATCTGTGTATAATTTGATAGTCTGATCTCTGATTTTGTGGTTCCACATCCACAGATCAAACTAACTGTGGGTCCAACCTACTATGGATCATGTAGTACTGTAGTGTGTATTTACAGAAAAATATCCACATCTAAGTGAACCCGAGCAGTTCAAACTTGTGTTGGTCAAGGGACAACTGTATATAAAATGAATATTATTCAGCCATGACAAAGGAAATCCTACTATTTGCAACAACATGGATGAACCTAGAGAACATTATGCTAAGTGAATAAGCCAGACAGAGAAAGGCAAATACTGTAGATCTCACTTACATGTAGAATCTGAAAAAAAAAAATCAAACTCATAGAAACAGAGAGTAGAACAGTGGTTACCAGGGAATAGAGGGTAGGGAAACAGGGAGATCTGGTCAAAGGGTACAAGTTATAAGATGAATAAGTTCAGTTATAAGATTAATAAGTTCTGGGGATCTAATATACAGAATGATGACTATAGTTAACAATACTTTATTATACACTTGAAATTTGCTAAGAGAGTAAATATTAAGTGTTCTCACACCACACACACACACACACACACACACACACGTAACTATGTGAGGTGGTGAATGTGTTAATTAACCTAACTGTAGTAATCATTTTACAATGTATATGTGTATCAAATCATCATGTTGTATACTTTAAATATATATAATTTTGTCAATCATACCTCAATAAAACTGGCAGGGGAGAAAAGAATTCAACTGACTGAAGATTTTGAGAGAAGTGAGTGAAGTTTTTCACTTCTAAGTTATCTCTCTCACAAAACTAAGGTACTTAAAAAAGTATAATATAAAATCTGCTTATTTGGGACTTTTACACTAGTACTTTTATAAACTAGGAGATGAAGAAAGAAATAGTAAGAATATCTGAATAACTTGGTTAAAGTTCCTTGTTTAGAGAACTTTTGTAGAGCAAAATAATCCATATATATATATATATATATATATATATATATATATATATATATTTTTTTTTTTTTTTTTTGCGTTACGCGGGCCTCTCACTGCTGTGGCCTCTCCCGCCGCGGAGCACAGGCTCCGGACGTGCAGGCTCAGCGGCCATGGCTCACGGGCCCAGCCGCTCTGCGGCATGTGGAATCCTCCCGGACCGGGGCACGAACCCATGTCCCCTGCATCGGCAGGCGGGCCCTCAACCACTACCAGGGAAGCCCTAATCCATATAATTTAAGGAAATATTTTAAATTGTTAGATTTATCTCAGAAGACAATCACTTTATACATACTTGTAAAATAGTATTTATTATAGTATAGTTACTTTTTAGTTTCTCTCTATTTCTGTCTTACCCTCATCTCAAGGGTAAGAGGTATATCTTATGCATTTATTGATTAAAGAACTTAATGAAGAAACCAAAACTCCATAGCTTTAATTCCAAGAGGAATTAAAAAGTGGAACTAACCCAGGCCTTTGCCTGGTTATCAGAATATTAGCACCTGAATTATTTAAGCAGATTTTTCAGAATGGCTCCAGGTCCTGACTCATCAAGATTAAGAAGCCTGAGTTAAGGAGACAGAAGGCAAAGTTTAAATGTGAGTGTGTTTGGTAGTGTATCTGCCTGCATGTCTCAATGAATTCAGAAGCATATAGAAAATGTTTTTAAATTATTACTTTTTATTATCTGCTCAAGCCCTCTAATGGAACAGATAAGAGAATAAGCTCTGAAAAGAGTGGAATGAGATGGCCACTAATAACAGAAACATTTCTCAAATTCCCTCAGAAAGATGAAAAAGTAGAGGGCAAATAGAGTTTAACCTACCTCTCTCTTTGCAAAGGACAAAAAGGAATTCAGCAGCAATTTGCTTGACTCCCAGGTCAACATGTGTCATGAGGCGCACCAGCTTATTTCTCACAGTTGAGCCAACTTCAGGTCGATTTGTCACATCCCTCAATGGTGGTAAAACCTAATGGCACAAATGCAAAACCATCATCAATCGTTTAAGTATTAGAGTAAGTGAGAATGGTACCAACCGAGCTTAGTTTTTTAAGAGTAGAAAAAACATTAAAAACTAAATAGGTTTGCTTCCAAATAGAATAAAGCTAAACAAAAAACAAACCTCAAATAATTTCATGCCTGTAATGAAATTTCACTTGAAGTGAAACATCTCTTCACTGTACCACCATGATATATTCAAACCCCTTCCTGAGTTTTTACTCATCTCAGCACCTGGAATGCCCCTGCTGCCTCTATCAAAATCCATGTTAAAGTCTGGGTCAAATTTCTCTTTCTTCCTTAATACCCTGACTCATATTGATTTTTCCCTTCTTTTAATTCCTGCAGCATTTTCATTGTTTACTAAAAAATACCAAAAACCCTGTACATATGTTTTCTAGTTGTTTTATTTTATAATAAAATGGTTATTAATTATTGAGTACTTCTTATGTGCTAGTTGCTATAATAGATGATATGCATACATTCTCTACAATCAACCCTCACAGGAACCTTGCAAAGGAGGTAGTAACATCACTATCATCCCTATTTTATAGACTGATCCTCAGAGGAATTACATAACTTGCTTGGTTTATCTGTTTGTTTGCTCACTCACTCACCCATCCATGCATCCACCCAGATCCCTCCTCTTTTGGTTCTCCACACTGGTTGCTTCATCTTAGCCTCTGTGCCAGTTCTCTTTTATCCTTTTGTGTTTAAGTGCTGGAATATTCAAGGGTTAAGTTCTTGGGCAACATTTCTTTACTATTTTCACTCTCTATTGGTGATCTCATCCAGTTTTACGGCTTTGTATGGTCTCTATTTACTGATAACTCCCTAAAGTATATGTCTATCTTGATTTCTTCCATGACCTCCAGACTTTTATAGGCTTCTCAAATTTAGCATGTCCTAAGCAGAATATTGAAGCTCCCAACAAAGCTGTTCCTTCTACAGTTTTCCATCTCATTAAATAGCAAGTCTGTTCTTCCAACTGTTTACTGCAAACACCTTGGAAACAGCCTTGATTCCTCTCTTTCACATCCCACATCCAATCCATCAGCAAATTATTCTGGCTCTACCTTTGAATTATATCCATAACCCAACAACTTCTCACTATCTCCTCTAGTATTACCAAATTCAAGCTACCAATATTTCTCATCTGAACTATTACCACAGTCTCCTAAGTCATCCCTGCTTCCATCCTGGTCCTTCCATGATCTATTACATAGCAGCTAGGATGATCCTTTGAAAGTCAGATCACGTCATTCCTCTTCACAAAGTCCTCCAGTTCCCATGGCTTCTCATCTCACTCATAGTAAAAGGTGAGGTCCTTCCAAATTCCTTAAGCTTCACATAATGTGGCTTCCTGCTACTTTTCTGACTTAATTTCTATTATATTCCTTGCTTACACTGCTATAGTCTCACAAACCTCCATGGAACTCTTTATACTCACCGAGCACTTTCCTACCTCATGGTCTCTGCCTTTGCTGTTCCCTCTGCCCAGAAACTCTTTTTCTGGAAACTGGCTTGGCTCATTCCCTTACTTTCTTCAGGTCTCTATTCAAATGTTATTTATAGGAAGACATTCCCTGACCACCCTATATAATTAACCGTCAGCATTCTCTTTTTTTAATCCCCCTCCCTCTGCTTTAATCTTCCTCACAGCACTTATCACCACCTAACACAGTATATATTTCTTTCTTTTTTGTCTGCCTTCTTCCACAAGTCAGTTCCATGGGGGCAGGGATTTCTTTCTGTTTTGTGTACTGCTCTCAGTGCCCGGCATATTACAGGTTTCGATAAGTATTTGATGATTGAAGGAAGAATGAATTAATTCAAGTAACTTTTTAAAAGTGCCTTCTATAAGCTAGGCACTATGCTAGGAAATGAAGATAGACACAAAGTCAAATTATAATTTACTATACCAGACTCTTTATGTGTATATTATTTTTTATTTAATCCATTCAGCTGACTTCCTTCCTTCCTTATCTCTTTCTATACTGAGTACCTACCATGTATCAGGAGGTACTGGAGGCCCTGGAGATACAGCTGTGAAAAAAACCCAGAAACTAAATCTCAGAAAACTGAGTAATCTACCCAAAGTGTTTATAGAATCCGTGTTTCAATATCTCTGGTAGGATAGAGCAAAATGCTCTTTGTGCTTATCTCCCATTTCTAGAGGAATGAGACATGTAACAAATGATTTCATGTGGTACGTACCTACAGTTCCAGAGTATAGTATCTCTTAATAAAGGTTATCACACAAAAATTTTCTTAGCTATGTTTTGGGTTCCTTAACAAGTTTTTGAAGTGAAATTTTATAGTTTTCATTGTTACATATCACGCCCAAACTGCATATGTATGGAGCATTTCTATTTCCCCCCAAATACTACCCTCCATTAAATTTTTTCTTTTCTTTGAGAAACCTTGTCCAGTTCCTCTTTCAAATCCATAGCATCTTCATCTCTTCTATTAGCCTCTCCAGATGAATCCAACCTGAATCAGTAATTTCTACCATCTGTTCTCTTTCTACCTGCCCAAATACTGAATACTCAAGACCAATTTACTTTGGGTATGCACGAGTTGGATTTAATCAGGAATTAACTATGGGGCACAATAATTAATTAGCCATGGTTCCATTTACACTATTATCAAAGTTAATCATCTGTTACTTTAAGTTCTGCCCTTCTTGATCCTCATAGTCTATAGTGCAGCTTCCTCAGAAAGAAAGTGGATTTCTGTATCGTGCCTTGTATCTTTCTTTAGTTATCTTTTACTTGTCATGTCTCCTTCTTTATCTGTACTGTAGTATTTCTTTGAGGATAAGGAGTGGGTCTCACAATCTTTTGTATCTACATAATGTAGAGTCCAAGACCTTCATATAAATAATCTGTTTAACAGATTTTAGGGGGGCTATCCTGGTTAGAGATGGCAAAATCTAAACAGTTTAGTTGAACGTGGATCTCCTCTGTGAAAAAGCTAAAATATAGAACACAAAGTATTTTCATTTATTATTCTCCACCAAGTCCTCCTAGTCATGATAGAATGTCTTAAAATAATCAAACTTGGAAATGACCTTAATTCATCAATTAACTAATTTATTTTGCTTAAATGATTATTCATGCTTTGATGGTAGCTAGTCTTCCAATAGGCTATAAATTCTTCAAAGATAAGAGTCCCTACTTTCTAATTTCTCCTTATCAGCAATATCTATTAATGTGCTCTACACACAGTAGAGTGCTTATTAAATCTTGACCATAAACATATGGGGGAAAATGAACCTAGTTAATTTATTAAGAGAAATTCTATATGGCAATAAATAAACAATGGGGTAAATGGTGGTATCATGTAGTGAATGAGGAAAGAAGGGGAAGACAGGGTGGGGAGGGATGGGAAATCGAGAGATTAGTTTGGGATACGTTAACTTAAGATACCTACTACACATCCAAGGGGAGGAGATGAGTAGGCAGTATGTTATATAAGTCTGGAGCTTAGGGGACAGGTCAAGGGTAGAGACAGAAATTTGCGAGTCATCAGTGAATAGATGACTTTCAAAACCATGGCTGCTGAATGAGACCAACAAGAGAGTAGAAATGGAGACAAAGATAATATTGCCTTGGGGAGCTCAAACACTGCAAAGAAGTAGTTCCCTGTTGTGTCCTAGACACCAAGTGAAGAAGGTACTTCAAGTAGGAGAGAATACTTAATTACATCAAAATGTTACCGGGGAATAAAAAAAAGGTTTGAGAACTATTAGATTTGGCAATATCGGGTTGATGATATTTGACAAACACCTTTGTAGTAGAGTGAAAAGCATGAAAACCTAATTACAGTGGGTTCGGAAGAGAATCAAAATGAGTAAAAGGAAGAGAGCGGGTGAGCACAGAAAACTCTCCTGAGGAACACTGCATAAAGAAGAGAAGAGAAATGGAGAGGCAGCTTGAGAAGTGGGATTAAGGGAAGGTTTTTCTGCTTTTAAGATGGAAGATGTGTTGGGTGCAGACAAAAATGATCCAGTACATTAAAAAAAAAAAGATTAATATAAGAAGAAAGAGAGGGAGTAAATGCAGGAGCAAAGTTCTTGAGGTGAGAGGGAAAGGTATCCAGGATATGAGTGCAGAGGCTGGCCACAGAAGGAAGCAGGGACAATTCATCCCTTGTGATAGAGCGGGGAGACATAGGACATGGGGGTACAGATAGATGCAGACAGACAGTAGATGCAGAGGTAGAAAGATGACTTCTTACCATGAACTCCAACTACTACCATCTCACTCTGAACCTTCATCATCAGCTCTCTTTTGGGCTGGTCTCCTCACATCTACTCACACTCCTTTAGTCTATCTTATATATAGTAGCCAGAATATCTTTAAATATAAATGAGGTCACATCACGTCCCTTCTCAGAATAGTCCAATGCTTTCCCTTCTCACTTAGAAGAAAATCAAAATTCCTGTACAACCTTACATTATTTGGTTCTTGCTTACCTCTTTTACTTCATCTACCACTCTCCCCCTCGCACAATGTTCTCTAGCCTTCTTGCTTTTCCTTAAGCATACCAAAGCATCCTCTCATCCAGGGACTTTGAATTCGTTCTGTCTGGTACATTCCTCTTCCAGAATATTCTCAGAACTATTCTCAGAGAATATCCTCTTCCAGATATTCTCAAAGATCCTTTCCTTACTTATCCAAGTTTCTGCTCAAATGTCATTTCCTCAGAGAGGTTCTTCCTTATTCCCTTAAGTTTTCCCTTCCCCTGTATCTTTCTTCCGAACACTTATCACTACTTGCCATTGTATCATACATTTATTTACTTTTTGTCCTCCTACAATAAGGGAAACTCCACAAAGCAAAGACTTCATTTGTATTTCAATGCTTAGAATACAGCACACAGATCTCAATAAACATTTGTTGAGTAAATGAATGAATGACTCAAAAAAATAGACAGGGTCACTTATTTCTGGATTAGGAAGGTTTCAAAGATTTAACACTAACTTTTTTGAGTTTCTGACATTCTGAAAGAAAATGACTGTGATAGAATTTGACTCATTAATTTTATGTTAAAAAAACACATATAAGATTAACTTTGAGATGTTAATATGCATTAAACAGTTACCTGATCTTTGAGAAATTTTCTGATGTTTCGATGGGCTCGGGAACATTCTGTTAATAAGCTGAGAACTGGAGTTAGACCCTCTCTATAGCTGCTTCCCTACAAAGAAAACCATACATGCTGCATTAGTTTAGTTTCTAACAGTTTACTTTTCTTCATATAACTGAGTATATTAATACTCTTTTTTTGAGAGGGAGACACTTTATGTTACCAAAGCTGCACAAACTATTTTAAAAATTATTTTCCTAAAAATATTTCCATTTCATTAGTTATCTTCATGTTTACTAATGCCCATTTTTATCCTTCCTGGATTTTTCTACATTTTTTAGGGCCCTCACTGGCTCAGCAAATGGGCTTAAACAAGGCGAAGGTTTTGATGACCAACCCATCCTAACTTGCTGCCTTTTAACACAGATACTCGACAAAGCAAGTGACAGAAAAGAGAAAATAAGCAGCTTACAACAAATGCAAAGTTGACAAATTTCTTTTAAAGATGTCTTTTAGGTGTTATGGAAAGTAGTTATCATCAAGTTTTGGGGGGGAGATATTTTTACTTCTAGAACTTACAAAATACCTACATAGAAAAGTAATTACTTTTTCCTTTGTTTTCAGGCACTAGTCACAATTTTGGTGTCGCATCAACACAATTTTCAGCTTTAAACAAATTCACTTGGTTTCAGCAATTTATCATTTACTACAGTAAAATGCTTTCTGGAGTATAAATAATTGTTCAAGATGTCAGCTATAAAAAAAAAGCTTAGATTCAAAAATCACATCCTGTGATGCCTGTATGTGTGTACAATTACATTCTTTAGAAGCATCTTCTCAATTTTATCAGTCTTACCTTGTCTATTCTCTTCTCCATAAAACTAAGTAAAACATGAATGGCCTCCATATTCATACCATTGTATACCATGGTATTATTTTTCAAAACTGTTTCTTTCTCAGCTGTTTTATCACTGGGCAGTTCATCTAGCGTCGTTGCTTCTGGGGCTGTTTCTTCATGGGTTAATGGACAAATGAGAACATCCAAACAAGAGACTGGAACATTGCTTAAAAGGTTGACTGCATTGCTGAAAAGCAATTTAAAAAGACAATATTTTAATTTGACTGACTAGTCCTTTAAAACACAAACGTAATAAGTTCAGAAGTGACTTTTAGGAGTCAATTAAAATTCTTCTTTTTCAAAATGAGCCTTTAATATTATTTGGCATTTACTAACAGAAAATAAAGAGAACTGTTTCAAATACACACATGACAAATTAGAAAGAACAGATGTTAAATGGACACACACAATCATATGATGTCATGTCACTTTCTGAAATGCTAAAATAGGAATTAGTGAGCTTTAACACTAGCTCTTTAATTTTATTATGATACAATACTAGATTTGCAGTTTTTCCTTGGGATTTTAAATCCTTTTGTGGATTCACTGATGTCTTATTATTCCTTAGATTACAACATAAAGCATTTGAGGAACACTGTATATAAGCAGCTTATCACAGAGGCAACAACATTAAAAACCAAATATTGTAGGATTAAATTTTGTCCTTTCTAGATACAGAAATACAATTTTTAGATCATCCCTTATTTCATAAGACATTTGCAGAAAATGGTAAATGGTGCTTTTTCTCCTTCTCTTGTCCCCAGATTTCTTTAAAAGAGGCCAACATAGCTACTTCGAATATCTATCCCCCAGGCCTTTCTTTCTATGTATTAATGAAATAATGTGCCTGGGATGCACACCAGTAGGGGGAACCCAAACCTTGTATTTTTTGGTATTCCCTAAAAATCTTGTTCCATTGCTCAGTGTATAAGAGATTAAAATTAAAATTGTTAGTGTTTGACACTAACAATTTAAAAATTAGACATGCTCTCAATTCATGTATTTTCCTTCATGCATTATTTCATATTTTTCCTTTTAAAAGGAGAGGTGGTCTTCTGTGCTAGCTGGATCTTAAAAGCCTGCGCCTCAGAACTTCCTGATAAACAACAGTGGAGAGACAGGCATTACATTTCCTAGTGACAGAGAAGCAGATCTAAAAATAACTGCATCCTGACTAAAAATAAACTCTTGCAAATACAATTTAAAAGTCTAACCACTTGGAAACCAAATTCAGAGCTTAATCTAACTGATGCTGTCTTAATTTAGCCCATAGTAGTTCCTTTTAATTTAGATTATAGTGACACCCTCAAATATAAAACAAAATAAACAACAACAAAACAGAAATAAAATACAAAATATTTTCTCTCCTTTACCCTGAAGTGTGGCTGCATTTCCCCAAGAATGAATATTTCTTTTCTTTCTTTTTATATTACGGGAAAAAAAATTCATAAGAACTCAAAGTTGAAAAAGTAGACAATGGAGAACAATAACTGGTAATGTAAAGGGCACCAAAAAATCAGAACCAAGAACAAAAATAATTTAACAAGTCCTATAAATGAAAGGTTCCTGGTAAAATACAAGTTATTTGGTTGTCCCCACTAAGAATCTACTACTGCTGCTGCTACTGCTATTACTACTACTACTATTCAACGTTTCTAACTTTGATTATTTGTAAATAATCGCAATTGGCTGAAATACGATGCTTTTCCCTCAAACTTTCCTTTTAAAATTTTTGCAAACATCTGTAGTTCCTTATCTATAGATAAATATATTGCACTTCTGACTTAAGCATTTGGAAACTGTTATTAAATATCATAGATTCACTGGGGTTAAAAGAAAAAAAAATAGAACTCTACCTTAGAATTACTTTCTAAAACTGTAAAAGCCACTTTGAAATGTTAGGTGTTTTTCAACACATAGAGCAATAGGCTGGAGTCCACCAGTAGTATAATTCTCTGAATCTACCATAGAGACCACACTGAAAAGTTTAAGGCAATGCATTTCATTACAAAGGAATGCTTCCCTTTAGATTCATTTAAAATAAGCAGTTTCCAGGAATTTCGTAAATTTAAGAAACCAAATGTAGAGTTTGATTCAACAAATATTTGGAGGTTTTAGGCTTTTCAAGAAAAGTTCGCATTTTCTCGTTTCTTATTAAACAACTGGGTTCCCAAACAACTACAAAATTAATTTTCTGGCTCACTGTGTTTGAGCTATTCTTTTTAAGTAAGGAAAGCCAGCTTTTTGAGCTGTCACTTCTCTGACAGTTTTATTTGTGGTAGAAGAGTGTATGAAATTCTCCAGCTACCAGGAAGTCAGTGACTATGCACAGATCTGCACAATGGTGTTTGCATTCCTACTCCAGGGGGTAGAAGTACTGTGTATATTACTCTCCCCTTTTCAGCTTCCTAGAGATCATTAATCACTGGGACATGACATCCTCCCACTCAAACTCCCAGCCCCCTCCTGATATGCAGATTCAAAAGCAGGGCATATTTAGAGCTCCTTAATGCTCTGATTAAAGCCTTGATAGTTGTGGGAGAAGGAAGGCAACCTAAAATCCAGGCCTGTATCAATCGAGGGGCTAAACAATTTAATACCAGATGACACTAAGGAGCATGATAACAGTACAAGCAGACCTACAGCTGTTGGCAAACTTTCCTGGTCAAATGTATTGGGGCTCACATATCGTTTTTCATGGCTGGAAAATCTACTTAAATGAACCTCAAGATCTCCAAAAGATTTTCACATGTAAATACCTAAGTTTACTTTAGTCTAACTCAGTTCAGTAATTATTTATTGATTACTTATGCCAGGAATTTTTAAGGCAGGTATTACGAAGAAAATAGAAATAAATCCCTGCCCTTCTGGAGCTTATTTTCTAGCATGTAGAGAACCAGTCAATTAAAAGTAAACAAACAGGGCTTCCCTGACAGCTCAGTGGTTGAGAGTCCGCCTGCCGATGCAGGGGACACGGGTTTGTGCCCTGGTCCGGGAAGATCCCACATGCCGCAGAGCAGCTGGGCCCGTGAGCCATGGCCACTGAGCCTGCGCGTCCAGAGCCTGTGCTCCGCAACGGGAGAGGCCACAACAGTGAGAGGCCCGCGTACCACAAAAAAACCCCAAACAAACAAAAGAAGTTAATTGAATAGAAGGTGATAAATGGTCTGAGGGTAAAATTCAGGAGGTAAACAGGACATGTGAGTTGTAATTCTGAATAGGGTAGTCTGAACAACCTCACTGAGATGGTGTCATTTAAGCAAAGACTTAAAGGAAGTTAGGAAGTGAGCCCTGTGACTACATGCGGAAAGGGCCTTCCAGGAAGGAGGGCAGGAGCAAAGGCCCCAGGGCAGGAGTAGTGGCATGTATGAAGAACTGCAATGAAGTTGGTGTGGCTGAACCACCACACACAGGGTGAGGAGTGGGACAGGAGCTCAGCTGGGTAACAGGGGGCCAGATTGGTTTTACAGGCTATTATTACTTTAGTTTTTATCCTGAATGAAATGGGGAACCACCACAGGGCTTGGCATAGTAATATACTCTATCCTTATGTTAAAAGGATCACTCTGGCTACTATGTTGAGAACAACTAGTAGGACGTCAAAGGTGAGGAAGGCCAACCAGTTAGGGTGTTATTATAATAACTCAGGTGAATGAACACGGTGGTAACAGTGCAGTGGTCAGATCTGGATACATTTTGAAGATTTCCTGATAGGCTAGTTGTGGGGTGTGAGAATCCAAGCTTCTAGCCTTAGCAAGTGGAAAGCTAGAGTTGCCATAAATTGAAATGGGAAACACTGCAGGAGAAGCAACATTTTAGGGGAAGAGTAAGAGTGTAATCTTGGATATGTTAAGTTTGGAATGTCTGTTATACTTCCAAATGGAGATGTTAACAGGAAGTTAACTGTAAGAGTCAGGGAGATCAGGGAGGGAGATCTGGACTAGAGATATAAACTGAGGAGTCATTAGCATGTAGATGGTATTTAAAGACCAAGATTGGATTAGATCAGTAAAGGAGTGAGTGTGGATTGAGAGACTATGAGAGATAGGCCTGGGGCACTCTACCATCCAGAGGCTGAGTGGGAGAGGAAGAAATTACAACTAGTGAGGTAGGAGGGAAACCAAGATAGGATGGTATCCTGGAAGAAAGTATATCAGTAAGAATGGAGTGATCACATGTGGTCAAATGATGTGGACAGATCAAGTGACTGGATTTAGAAACACAGAAGTGACCTTAATAATAGCCATTCTGGTGTAGTGGGACTAAAACCTGAGTAGACTAGATTCAAGAGAGAATAGTAGAAGAATCAGATAGTCGATACCTAGAGGAGGTTTACTGCAAAGGGCAAAAGAAGACTGGAACAGCAAATCTAGGTGGCAAAGTGTTAACCCATAGGGACCTGGTCATTGTTCTCTAGGTATGCTGTAGACATAGTCTCATTTCTGTATTTGTCCATGTTTTCTCCTGTTTAGAATGATCTCATTCTTTAAGATTAGCTCAAGTCTCACTTTATTCTCAACAAATATTTACTATGCCTTGTACTAGATGCTAAGTATACAAAAATAAATAAAATATGCTCCTTTTCCTAAGAGAAGACAGCATAACATAATTTGTAGAGCAATGGGTTGAATTCTAAGTTGCCTCCTAGAAATGTGTGCCTTGGGCAAATTACATGACCTATTCTAGGCCTTGGTGTCCTTAATTCTAAAGTAAAGGGAAATAAATTTATCCCATCAGGTTGATGTGAGGATTAAATGAAAAAAGGCATGCAAAGCACTCTGCCTGGTACATAGTAAATGGCAGCTATTAAGGAGCTTTTGAACAGGAGACATACTATACTATAGGAGGGAACAGCAAATATCTGGAAGAATGAGAGAATATGGTGTCTGTGGGGAAATGAAAACAGGTTCCTAAGTCTAAAGCAAAGGACAAGGCCTCTAAAGGACAGGGCCTTAGTAGGCATAAGACAAAAAAAGTGTGTGTACGAGTGTGTAGAGTGGGGAAGGGGGATTGTCATGATGAGATACATGTTATGGCCAAATGGGTTACTGATGACCTTAAACCAGAGTTGTGCTGGCAAAGGAGTAGGTGCAGAAGCCAGAAAAACAAATTTCCCAGATGCATTTGCGGATCATTAATAAATGCATAGTGACAAAATAAGTTTGCTCTTAATCATAAAGACAGAGG